CACACCTGGACTAACCTGAGATTCACCTGGACTAACCTGAGACACACCTGGACTAACCTGAGATTCACCTGGACTAACCTGAGACACACCTGGACTAACCTGAGACTCACCTGGACTAACCTGAGACTCACCTGGACACAGACTCAGCAGACATTGTGTCAGATTTTTTTAATGAGAAAATTTAATTGATCTGAATATTTACCTGCTGATCTTCAGGTCAGTCTGACCTCAGATCTTCTGTCCGTCCTTCAGGACTTTTATCGCAGCAAACGTCTCAGCAGCTTCTTCCTGCTTCCTGTCTCTTTGGACCAATGGGCTGAAAGTACGCAGCAAAGTCTTCTGGGATACCAGGACCAGGCCAGGAGGTTTCTGAGTGAAAGCAAACAGGGTACCTGACCTCACGAAGACCCCGTTTATGATTCACAGAGACAGGAGGTCTTAGACCTACTCTGAACCTGGTTCTGTCCTCCTGTCTGTCCTCCTGTCTGTCCTCCTGTCTGTCCTCCTGTCTCAGAGGTGGTGAAGCAACTGTCTGTGTTCAGGGAGCTCCTGAGTTTGTTTCCAGCAGTTTTAATCAGTAACCACGAGCAACAGCAGGGGGCGTGGCTCAGAGAGGAGGTGGGCGGAGCCAGGAAGAAGCTGGAAGAGTTGATGTCAGCCAGCAACAAGGAGAAGGTACGAAACTGACAGGCAGAGATGGTTCTGAACCTGGTCCTGGTTCAGATTCTGATCCTGGTCCTGAACCTAAACCTGGTTCTGAACCTGGTCCTGGTTCTGACGGGTTCATGTTTCAGAAGCTGAACGTTCATCAGCTGCGAGTTTCTCTCAGAGACCAGGAGCTGCAGATTCTGAACTCCACAGAGGAGCTCAGACAGCAGCAGCTGCACAGCGCCATCATCAGGACACACCTGGAGCAGCAGGTAGGAGGGGGCGGAGCTTCACTCACCTATTATCATAGCTGTTGCCTCGTTCTGAGAGTGTGTTTGATAAATGTGTGTGTTTGATACAGGTGTGTGTTTTATACAGGAGTGTGTTTGATACAGGTGCGTGTTTGATACAGGTGTGTGTTTGATACAGGTGTGTGTTTGATAGAGGAGCGTGTTTGATACAGGAGTGTGTTTGATAAATGTGTGTGTTTGATACAGGTGTGTGTTTTATACAGGAGTGTGTTTAATACAGGTGTGTGTTTTAAACAGGTGTGTGTTTGATAGAGTGTGTGTTTGATACAGGTGTGTGTTTGATACAGGTGTGTCTTTGATACAGGTGTGTGTTTGATAGAGGAGCGTGTTTGATACAGGAGTGTGTTTGATACAGGAGTGTGTTTAATACAGGTGTGTGTTTGATAGAATGTGTGTTTGACACAGGTGTGTGTTTGATAAATGTGAGTGTGTTTGATACAGGTGTGTGTGTGTTTGATACTGGAGTGTGTGTGTTTGATACTGGAGTGTGTTTTATACAGGTGTGTGTTTGATACAGGTGTGTGTTTGATACAGGAGTGTGTTTGATAAATGTGAGTGTGTTTGATACATGTGTGTGTTTGATACAGGTGTGTGAGTGTGTTTGATACAGGTGTGTGTTTGATACAGGAGTGTATATGTTTGATACAGGCGTGTGTTTGATACAGGAGTGTGTGTGTTTGACACAGGTGTGTATTGGATACAGGAGTGTGTGTGTTTGATACAGGTGTGTGTTTGATACAGGTGTGTGTTTGATACAGGTGTGTGTGTGTTTGACACAGGTGTGTGTTTGATACAGGAGTGTATATGTTTGATACAGGCGTGTGTTTGATACATTTGTGTGTCTGATACTGGTGGGTGTTTGATACAGGTGTGTGTTTGATACAGGTGTGTGTTTGATACAGGAGTGTGTTTGATACATTTGTGTGTTTGATACAGGAGTGTGTGTGTTTGATACTGGAGTGTGTTTGACACAGGTGTGTGTTTGATACAGGAGTATGTTTGATACAAGAGTGTGTTTGGTACAGGTGTGTGTTTGATACAGGAGTGTGTTTGATACAGGTGTGTGTTTGATACAGGAGTGTGTTTGATACATGTATGTGTTTGATACAGGAGTGTGTGTGTTTGATACAGGACTGTGTGTGTTTGATACAGGAGTGTGTTTGACACAGGTGTGTGTTTGATACAGGAGTATGTTTGACACTGGTGGGTGTTTGATACAGGTGTGTGTTTGATTCAGGTGTGTGTTTGATACAGGTGTGTGTTTGATACAGGTGTGTGTTTGATACAGGTGTGTGTTTGATACATGTGTGTATTTGATACAGGAGTGTGTGTGTTTGATACAGGAGTGTGTTTGTTTGATACAGGAGTGTGTTTGATACAGGTGTGTGTTTGATACATGAGTGTGTCTGTTTGATACAGGTGTGTGTTTGATACAGGTGTGTGTTTGATACAGGTGTGTATGCGCGTCAGAGCGGAGGAGTTTGTGACATCACTAGCCTCTCTGTCTGAAAAGCTGTTGCATCAAGTGGACGAGCTGCTCACACCTGCAGGTAACTTCTGTCACACCTGCAGGTAACTTCTGTCACACCTGCAGGTAACTTCTGTAACACCTGCAGGTAACGTCTGTCACACCTGCAGGTAACTTCTGTCACACCTGCAGGTAACTTCTGTCACACCTGCAGGTAA